GGCAAACATCAGGGTTAGTACATTTTTTCTTAGAAATGGCTCCCTGCTAGGGGTTGAAGTTGGGGATGCTCTGCATGTGCTCTCTGTTTCTTGGGCTGCAGTACTGCTGCAGTATTTCTACTGGGAGCCAATCCATCTCTAATTCAGCCAGGTGGTCTGTAAGATCAACTAAAGCTGGCCTGGGAGCCTAATGTGAGTGCCACCCAACTACCATGGAGGTCCGATAGTGTAAGCTGCCAGCACTGAAGCCCTTGTGTTTGGCCATGGATGCTTCAGGATTTAGGGCTGGATGACACTGTCAGAGGGGAAAGTGACAGGCACAAACTCCCATATGTTTCTGGCCACATGCTATCAGATTATGATTAGAACAGGATTGGACAATAGAGAAGAAGGCATTGGGAGATTCAAATCTTGAGAGTAAGAGGAAAGGAAGTGGAAAGAAAAGCCACTACTGCAGGAAGATTCCCCCAGTGGCAAAACAAAAAACGATTCCCCCTTTCTGCTTCCACCTTAGCTGCTGTGCCCAGTTGCCAAACTCCTTCTCCCAGGGCCAGGATACAGCTGGTGTAATGTGGAGGAAGTGGGGCGCCGGTATCAATCCTAGTGCTGGGCACCCAGGCACTGCCCTGCTGAGATTTCTGGCACCCGCATCATCTCTTCCTGCCTGTCACACTAGTCAGACTGAGCCAGAGAAGCTTTTCCTAGGTTCCTCCTTATATTGACCAGTGAAGAAAAGGTAGGTGGACAGAAGTGAAGGAGTCAGAGAGGACAGTGGAAAGGATGGAGATAAAGGAGAATGTTCAGGGTGGACAGCATGCATTTATAGAGAAGGATCATAGAAGCACAGAAGAGTTACAGAGGGAATGAGCGTGTTTGTGGATGGAAGTTTGGGGGCAGGAGAATTTATGATGCATTAGTACAGAAAGGGAGGGGGATTGAGTGGGAAGGAAAGGATCCATGTTTGTGGTGGTAGTGGTTTGTGTAAGATGATTTGTGCTAGAAGAAGGGGTTGGTGTGCAGGGTTTATGTTGGAAATGAGGGGATAATTGGATTTATGGTGGCAATTGCACTAGAAGGGGGGGATTTGTGCGCAGGGGTGGATATGATCTGTGCTTGGAGGAGAGATTGGGAAGGAGGGTGTAAGTGGATTTGTTCTAGAATCAGGGGTTGGGGGATGGGTTTAAGGATTTATATGCTGGGAGCCCCTCCTACTGTTAGGGTTGGTTCACACCATCCCTGCACATGAATCGCACAAGAGCGCATTGTTCATTCCTGTGCGATTCACATGTGGTTCTGTGTGCTTCTGTGCAGTACGATTTCAACCCATTCATTTTGAATGGGCTAAAATTGCACAGCACCACACCAAAGGTAGTGCATGCACTACATTTTAAAATGCACTGCAACTGGATCACATGGTACAAAAGTACCATGCGATCCAGTGCTTGCAGTTACGTGCAAATGCACGGCATTTGTGACCTGCATTTAGGGTGTCATTAACTTTGTATTGATTAATATTGCTGCTGTCCAAAGATGCCCCTCAGCTCCTTCATCCTGAGTGGTGGTACCCTAATACAAGATCACCAGGTGAAAACAGAGGGAAAAAGCCTAAAAAAAAAAACAAATGCATCCTCTACCTCTAGTGATTGCTAGGCTGCAGTACAATACATTTTTTTTTGGTTACAATACATTCGGGTTTAAAGGATAAGTTCACCTTTGGAACATGTTACTTTCCATCTGTTTTTAGGGTGGAACACAAAACATGTTCCCATAGCTGCAGCCGCACCCGTTGCCCCGTTGATAGTATGGGGAGAAGTCTGATTGCTGGTGCAATGCTTTCCAGGTTCCTTTTGACAAAAAGAATACTGTCACATTTTTTTACCTGCATTTATTATTTTTACCCAAAAGATGAACTTATCTATTAATTCCGCTTTAAGTCTGTCTTCTCCATTCAGCTGTCTAGTGGTGGCCAGGAGCAGCTGCTCAAGAAAGACTCAAGAGTCTATTTATAATTGGTTTCAGCCAAGAGTCACACAAGTTTCACCCAAGATTCGCCCATTTTTATAATTGAATATTCTGTGGAAAATGGCTAAATCTTGGGTAAGTGGTGGGAATCTCATCTGAAAACACTGACAAACTCTTCAGTATTCAAAAATCCAGTTTATCAGCAAAATAAAAACCCCATGTTCTGCTCACAACTATCCCACATTTAGAGGGACTGCTCTTCTCTTGGAACCAAAACCACCTCTAGATTAGGCAGATTTTTCTGGCAGATGCTATACTGGATTGTCTGTTCTTCGACTGTCACCAACTTTGTTATCTCGTTGTCCTACACTTTTGTTGTTTGGGCTACTCTGTATTGACTCCGATTGTTTTCTGTATTCCTACAGTCTTAATCCATGTAACGTGCTGTTGAAAACAATAATAAAAAACATTGAACCAAAACCATCCGCCTCCTTTACTTCCTAAGGTGTCCCTTTGTGTGCTTTGATGTGTAGACTTCTATAAAAATGCACTATTATACTATTTAACTACTAAAAGTGTAATACTACACTAAATCTTTCATCAAAACTATAAATAATTGCATTTGTTATTTTGAAAAGCTAGTATAGAGGAAAAGATTGGGGGAAAAAAAACAAGTTGTGGATTTCAACGTTTATTTATTTTTTAATATTTATTGTTCCTGGTCTGTATGACTGTGGGTTTGGCAAGGGGTGCACTATACTTGGTGCTAAAGAATGTCCATCTTTCATATATCTGAAAATTGAGAAGTATGGCTTTTTGCACAGTAAGTACACTCATCTTTGTAAAGAATTTTTGAAAATGTATCTAGGGCCAGGGGTGGCCAGAAACAGCTCAGTTATTACAAGTAACTAAGGTAGGCTATGTCCCTTAAAAAATCATACCAGACCTCTATCTGGGATAATAGTTTGATAGATATTTTGGGGGGGAGGAGGCACTTTTTTCTAAATTCATACCAGACAGTGATGTTCCAGGGGTTGTTAGCTCAAGTGTAGTGCTTCCAAGTGAGTCCTTGCCAGGTAGAACTGTGTTTTAGGCTTGTCAGACAACGTTTATGAAACAAAATTAAAGTCTATCACAGAGCAGTTGTCCATACAGGGGTTTTCACAGTTAAAACAGGAAACAACAAATAATCTTCTTCACTTTACAGCACCACTGCTTAGGTCTTAAACCTTGGCCTTTGGCTTTTGAATGGTCCCTCAGACCATCTTACACATATGTGTTCATATGCCCCTCTCTGCTCTCCCTGCTTTGTCAGCTCTCTCTGCACTCCTTAGACCTCTAGGTTCCCTCTGTTGGGAATACAACAGAATATACTATATACAGTATTGTGTGCTAATATCACTTGACCAGTAGATGGCACTGTACACTAAGGTTACCAGTTGTGCATATCTGTAAACTTGTTGGTTCTACTCTCTCTCTTCTCTCTCTTTTTATAACCAAGATGTCTGCTGTTACAGCTTGCTGAAATGTTTTGTATGTTTGCAACTTAAGCCACACAAGTAAACTGTCAGGAATGGACTTGCCAGTAATGGTGGGACTCACCTGCATTGTGGGCTGCAGTACCAGGGCTGGCCAGCGAGTGCTCTCAGCAATCAGAGACTCAACCCTGCAGCCAGCCAAACACCTGAAGCTGATTATGCAGGTGTATTTAAGGGATGGCCAGACCTGCAGTCTGGGCCTTAGTGTGTGTGTTTTTCCTGGGCCCCTGTATCTTGTTACCTGCATCCCTGTTCCTGTCCCTGTCTGACTGATTCGTTGCTGACCCTGCCTGATCCGGACCTCTGCTGACTTCTCCTGTTTGATCCCTGGCTTGTGACCCCGACTATTCTCCGCCTGACCCCCTGTACCTACCTGCTCGTTAGTTGCTGTACCCGGCTCGTGACCTGACTACTCTCTGCCTGCTCCTCCTGTTCCTACCTGCCCGATTGTTATTGACCCAGCCTGCCTGACGACGCTTGCATTGTATGTATTGTTATCTGTGGGTGGTTTGGTTCGTTTGCACTGTGTTATGTTTTAGTATTGCACTGCGTTTATGTATTGTTAGTGTTAATAAATTATATTGTTATAACATATCTGAAGCCTGCGTTTCCCTGCGTCAGTTCACATACCTCTGGTCACACCCTGGAGCCCTGACATTACACCAAGGCCAATCCTGATCAGAAGTGGCTGCACAGGGAAGCCATCTTGGCTTGTTGCTGGGAAGGATGGATCTTGATGAGGTTGTGTATTTGTCGCTGCTGGTTTTTGATGACAGAGAATATGCTTATCAGACTCTGAGGGAGTATACCCGGGATCAACTGCTAGAATGTATACGGATCGCTCATGTTCTAGTAGATCAGGGCACAGAGTTCTCTGAGGTGCAACTTTTGATTCAGGTTTGTGTAGAGTTGGCTTCATCTGGTACCCCTGAAAGCAGGAATGACTTTTTGCCACCATTTAGTGCAGACCAGGTAGAGTCCCTGGTATGGTTATTAGAGGATGATGTGGATTGCTTCTTGGAGCATTATGCTGCATGTTCACCACAGGTATTAAGGGATTGTATAAACGCAGTGCAGTCTTTGGTCAGACAGGCTTTGTGTAAGCTGAGCTTTGTTCAACCCATACTGCAGACATGGTCAGATTTGTTGCACCCAGCCTCAGTCAGCTTGCAAAAACCCAGTCCTGCTTCTAATCTATTTCTTCAAAGCTCTATTCCTGCATTCCCAACAGCACCTCCAGTTACAGCCCAGTATACCCTGCTATCTACCGCATGTCAGTACCCTGTTCCCACTCGCTGCACCTATCCTGCCTTTAACCCTGTAAAGAAGCCCTCTGTAGCAACTGTTCCCTCCCCTGTTCCATCCTCCAGCTCTTCTCTGTCTCCAGCTGCTCCATCCGTTTACAAACCTGCGCTTACTTACAGTGCTCCGGTAACTAAAACCAGGAAAAGGCGAAAGTTCTTTCCAACCAATACCATCCTGCCAGTATCCAAACCGGTCAGCCTTTCATCTGAGAACCTGCCTTCCGTGGTGCAGCCTGGTGCCTCGGCGCCCACAATTCAGCCTGATGCCTCCTCCTGATTCCAGCCTGATGCCTCCATTCAGCCTGATGCCTCCATTCCCGCTGTCGAGCCAGACGATCCAACGCCAGATGACCCGGTGCCCGCTGTCGAGCCAGACGATCCAACGCCAGATGACCCGGTGCCCGCTGTCGAGCCAGACGATCCAACGCCAGATGACCCCGTGCCCGCTGTCGAGCCAGACGATCCAACGCCAGATGACCCCGGTGCCCGCTGTCGAGCCAGACGATCCAACGCCAGATGACCCGGTGCCCGCTGTCGAGCCTGGTGACCCGATGCCCGCTGTCGGGCCAGACGATCCAATGTCTGACCCAGTGCCCACGGTCATGCCAGTTGACTCGGAGCCAACTGTCGTGCCTGGTGACTCGGTGCCCCGCTGCCTTGCCAGATGACGCGGTGCCCGCTGGCGAGCCAAATGACCTGATGCCTGGTGACCCAGTGCCCGCTGTCATGCCTGGTGACCCGATGCCCGCTGTCGAGCCAGACGATCCAATGCCAGATGACCCGGTGCCCGCTGTCGATCCAGACGATCCGGTACCTGATGACCCGGTGCCCGCTGTCGTGCCAATTGACTCAGAGCCCACTGTCGTGCCTGGTGACTCGGTGCCCACTGCCTTGCCAGATGACGCGGTGCCCGCTGTCGAGCCAAATGACCTGATGCCTGGTGACCCGATGCCTGCTGTCGAGCCAGACGATCCAATGTCTGACCCAGTGCCCGTGGTCATGCCAGTTGACTCGGAACCCACTGTTGTGCCTGGTGACTCGGTGCCCACTGCCTTGCCAGATGACGCGGTGCCCGCTGGCGAGCCGAATGACCTGATGCCTGGTGACCCGATGCCCGTTGTCGTGCCTGATGACCCGGTGCCCGCCGCTCCTCCTGGGGGCCCGGCGCCCGCCGTCCCTCCTGGGGGCCCGGCGCCCGCCGTCCCTCCTGGGGGCCCCGGCGCCCGCCTCCCCCTCCTGGGGGCTCGGCGCTCCTCCTGGGGGGGGGCCCGTCGCCCGCCGCCCCTCCTGGGGGGGGCCCGTCGCCCGCCGCCCCTCCTGGGGGCCCGGCGCCCGCCGCTCCGCCTGGGGGCCCGGCGCTCCTCCTGGGGGCCCGTCGCCCCGCCTGGGGGCCCGGTGCCTGCCGCCCCTCCTGGGGGCCCGCCGCCGCCCCCGCCTGGGGGCCCGGCGCCCGCCGCCCCGCCTGGGGGCCCCGGCGCCCGCCGCCCCGCCTGCTGGCCCGGCGCCCGCCGCCCCGCCTGCTGGCCCGGCGCCCGCCGCTCCGCCTGCTGGCCCGGTGCCTGCTGATCTGGTATCCAGCCCGATGTGCCGCTGCCCGGCTGAGTCCTGCCCGATGTGCCGCTGCCCGGAGTCCTGCCCGATGTGCCAGTCTTTGATATCCCGCCAGTTACCAGACCCGGGCGGTGGAACATTTTGCCCAGCTAGGACTGTTTGGAGTGTCCTGAGGCCGCTCCTTGAGGGGGGGTACTGTCAGGAATGGACTTGCCAGTAATGGTGGGACTCACCTGCCTTGTGGGCTGCAGTACCAGGGCTGGCCAGCGGGTGCTCTCAGCAATCAGAGACTCAACCCTGCAGCCAGCCAAACACCTGAAGCTGATTATGCAGGTGTATTTAAGGGATGGCCAGACCTGCAGTCTGGGCCTTGGTGTGTGTTTTTCCTGGGCCCCTGTATCTTGTTACCTGCATCCCTGTTCCTGTCCCTGTCTGACTGATTTGTTGCTGACCCTGCCTGATCCGGACCTCTGCTGACTTCTCCTGTTTGATCCCTGGCTTGTGACCCCGACTATTCTCCGCCTGACCCCCTGTACCTACCTGCCCGTTAGTTGCTGTACCCGGCTCGTGACCTGACTACTCTCTGCCTGCTCCTCCTGTTCCTACCTGCCCGATTGTTATTGACCCGGCCTGCCTGACGACGCTTGCATTGTATGTATTGTTATCTGTGGGTGGTTTGGTTCGTTTGCACTGTGTTATGTTATTATTATTATTATTATTACATTGAGTTTATATAGCGCCAAAGGGTTTGCTCAGCGCTGTACAATAGAGGGGGGGACAATACATGAAGCATTACAGCAACTACAAACAGCACACGAGGGGTTATAGGGCCCTACTCTTTCGAGTTTACAATCTAGGAGGGAGGGGGTAGTGGTACAGGAGGAAGTGGCTGTGGGGGATGGAGTGGTAGGAGGAATGAAGGAGAGCAGCAGTTAGGTGAGGGTGGGGTAGGCCGGTGGGTGATAGGGAGCCAGTGGAGGGATAGGCAGAGGGGGGTGGCAGAGGTGGAGCGGGTGGTGAGGTGGATGAGTCTAGCCGCTGAGTTGAGGATGGTCTGAAGCGGGGAGAGCCTGCACTGGGGTAGGCCGGTGAGGAGGGAGTTGCAGTAGTCAAGGCGTGAGATAATCAGGGAGTGTACAAGTAGTTTAGCGGTGTAGTTTAGTTTAGCAGTATTGCACTGCGTTTATGTATTGTTAGTGTTAATAAATTATATTGTTATAACATATCTGAAGCCTGCGTTTCCCTGCGTCAGTTCACATACCTCTGGTCACACCCTGGAGCCCTGACATAAACTAAGTTCTGCCTCATCACAAGCTACTAGTGTCTTCTCTAACACATAACCAACACCCTCAGTCCTCCAGAGTCGCTTAGTCATCCTGACTCTCCCAGTCCTCTGGACAAGGTCCCTTCTCACTCCAGCATGCAGTACCATCCCCTGAGTACAGCACATCTGTCTCCTAGCAGGAGCCCCAAGCTATGCCCAATCCTATCATTATAAGGTCTGTGCGCACCTGGACACATACCATCGTTCTCCTGCAAGACCTGGACACAGAGTTGGAGACTTCTTCCCTCCCAAAGCTTTTTTGAGTCTTCAAACTCTGGAATCCTATCTGGGAATATCAAAACCGGGAGAAAGCTGAAAAACAGTTTTCTGTGCAAACACTGTGTCACTTGTCTACTTTTACCAGTGGTAGGGCCTCACATTGTCACACAGACCCTTACAAAGGATAAGACCTAGTATGGATTTTGGGATTGGATCTGTCATTTAGCAGCAATATTTTTTATTTTTTAAATGTCACTTTTGCTTGAGTACACGTACAGATGCGCCATGTGCAGGCTTAACAAGGGAGAATGTCACTAGCAAACCAAGGATCACCAATATGGGTCCAAACGTTTTAATGAACGATCACATAGTTACAGCAAAGCAACGTTTCAGAGTCTCGCAGGATCCCTTCATCAGGCAGGTCACATTCCTGATGAAGGGGTCCTGCAAGACTCCAAAACATTGCCTTGCTTTAACTATGTGATCGTCCATTAAAACTGTTGGACCAATATTGGTGATCCTCGGTGTGCTGGTGACACTCTCCCTTGCTGATTCTATTTGGGTCCAGCCGACGGTCGCTGCAGCACCCACTTATACACACAGCCATTTTTAACGCAGGAATGTGTGTTTGGATTGTACACTTGCATGTACAGGTTTAAGGCATCCCTTAAGAATGTTATTTAAGGGAATTGTGTATGTTGCTCTTTAAGCAATTCCAACATCATCCCCCCTGCATCCTGTCCATATTGTCCCACAACAGAGGTGGCAGCCCTATAAGTGATCCCTCTAATATGAGCATTGCTTGTGAAAATCTGGTCAAAGAGGATCTCTCTAGGGGGTAGTAAGGAGAGACTTTGGGTGTTGCTATCTTACACAGAGATGTTCCATTCTGTTGGCGAGTTTACATGCAAGCATGGTCCAATATACTTCTAAGAAGAAGAGAAAAGGATCAAAATGCTATGCATACATATATATATATATATATATATCTACCAACAGTGTTGCATTGTCGGTTACAATCACAGACCAGAAGTTTATATGTAAAACCGATCTGTCTTGTCCAGCATTATGTCAGCGATATTCTGGAACACATTTGATAATAAATAAACGGTATTATGCTATGGGAGTTGTTCCTTTCCTACATATGGAGTTTCAAGCTGAGAAGAGTTCCGTATATAGTGTCATCTGAGGTGGTGCCTGTTATCAGCTCTTTGCTACCATATGAAGCATCTTTGATGGAACTATTATGCTTGGCCGACCTATACTAGTTTTATAGGTCCATTGTATGAGGTGAGCGGCCATCCTTACCCATAGGTGGAGGTGCAAAGTTACGGTGGAGCACTGTCATTTTTATAGTTTCAGCTTTTGGTGCACATAAGCAGCCTTTCAAGCACAATTATTTGATTGAACTGTCCGATTATTAATAAGGACTTTTGGTTATTATTTTCATATGTCATTATTTATATGAGTTAGTGCAACACTGTTGGTATATGTATATGGTTTAGAGCGTGGGATAAGTGTCATTGCAGAAGCTCAGATAGTGGGTTTTTGACATTATATGATAGCGCACAATGTTTTCTTTATTTATAAAATGCTATGCATGGAATGCCACTGTCAAACAAAAAATGTAGCAGATCATATCTAGGAGAAAAACCTAGAATAAGCGTATTGTTTATGAAAGACCAAAGGGGGATGATTGGAATACAGGAACAAAGTTGCTAAGGCATTTTTTTTAGGAGGGAGTTGGGGAATTTTCTTTTCCCTTGTATTTGATTATGAAGTCACGCACTTTAATGAATAATAAAACTCCCCATCGCATCCTTACAAACGTGTCTGTTGAATGAAGTCGCCTTTATATGAATTAAAACCCATCGCCACCACCTTCATTTTGTCATCCTCGTTGACTTTAATGCATTTTGTCAAAATTCAGAACAAACCAAATTTCCCTTTTTACCTTTAATGAATTAAAAAATATCTAGACATTTTTCAAAATTCTACCAAAAAATTGGAGAAAATGAAAACTCAAAATCCCACTCATGTCTGCTGTCTATACAGCTGACCTTACAAGAGTATGTAGTGTTCTGCAGATAGCCTGTCTTCAGAAAGGTTGACTTGTTCATGCACAAAAGGACCTCAGCTTAAGCTGACTGTCGTAAGGAACCTGACAATATTCAATTAATGGGCTGCGCGGTCAGCACCACTTGACATCCTTTAATGGAAAAATCTAATAAGCCAGGCAGACACTTTTCAGGTATCCTGACAGCTGTCTGAATACAATAACCGCAGCTGAAGAATTGTCCACCTGTGCCGTTTAGCATGGGTGGAGGAATCTGTTAGATTTCTTTCATTCAGCCTGTGGGTACTGCCGGCTTTAGCTCAGTCACAGATGGGCATATGTCTCATCTAGAATGAAAAGAGCTGAAACATCACGTGTTAGTATTACACTTTCAGAACATAAATGATAGCTGTGCATGCTCATTATTGCTCCTGTCAAAGAATCCATAATTCTGTTAGGTAGTCTTGTGATTTACACAACGCTGTAACATTTCTACCTCCTCCCCTCTCCTCTTGATCAAAGAAGAAAAAAGGCCCATGAGGACTTCTGGGATGTACGACATAATTTGCCTAGGCCAGAAACCAGGAAGCAACTGAAGAAATGTGAAAAAAGATTACAAAAAGTAAATATAATATGTCTCCCTTTAGATTTGGTAATGCTAGTAGCATAAGGATTAAGAATAGTTAATGTTGATTGAGAGAGTTTAGTTCTGCTTTAAGTCCAGCTAGCATTGGCCAAAATACAGACCTTCCAAGAGGAGGCCCTGGCACAGCAGCTGGAGCGAGAGGGTGCACAGCAGCAGATTGTGGTCCTTCAGAATGCACTGATCTAGCAAGCTAGAGGGCTCCAAGATGACTGCTACAGCAGATGGCTGTTGAAAGTCTATGCAGAGGGCCATACAAATGACTGTTGCAGACAGTTTTTAAGGGTATTGTAGTGCCCCTCTAGTTAGCCAGGAGGAGCTAGCTAGGTTTTTTTTAGTTAGAGGCTGGAAAGCAGCCTGGGATGAGTCAGCCAGGTTACTCTGGGTCAGGGCTGAGGGCTCTGCAGGTCAGTTCCCTGATACCATTCCCTG